GCTCTACCTCTCCCTTTACTCTTTCCTCTCTGCTCTGGCCTTCACTGCCATCCTCTGCTCTCTGCCCGGTGCCTGGAGGAGCTTCCCCAGGTGAGAGAGAGTGTTTGAATATGTGTGTATTTCCATCAATTTCTAATAGAATTAAGGACAAGTAGGCTTTTTCATTCACTTACATCCCTTTTACTCTTTGCACTACATTCCCCTGTGCTGCTGGGCCAACTTGAATTTCCCCTACAGGGGATCATACATGCCATACAATCCTGCTTTGCATACGATATGCACAAATAATGAGATATGGATTTGAGATAGTTTAGATAATTTAGCCTTGAACATTTTCTTTCTTTCAAGATTGGCATATGTAAAAGTCTAGCACACAAGGCTATACAGTAATACTACAGCATTACATAAAAATGACCAATAATAGCTAGAAGTTTGGCTATCCTCAACCCACATATAGGTAAATTTAATCTCTTTTTTGCAAAAAGGTAGAGTTTAGTCTTTATGAGTTTGGAAGCAGTGGCACAGGTTTGTTAACAATTTATTTTGTGATTGGTGCTGCTAGTGCATAAGTCCCATAGATTAGTGGTTTGATGTTTTCTTTGGTGACCATTTGTGAATAAATAAATAATTTTTACCATCTGAAGTGTGCATCTCATACCTTTTTGTCTTGGAATATTAGCATCTAACTAATCATGAACAGTGGCCGAGAAAATAAATGGAGCTGTCTTGTAAGATGCCCTTTTAATAAAAATATAATCTATACTGAATATGGAACTGTAACAATGAATACAGCTTTATACTAATTATAAAGACACAGTGGTACTCCTCACTTCTCTGCTCACCTTTGTCCCTCTTTCTCTCTTTCATGGACAACAACAGTGATTCAGAGGAGTACGAAGACTCAGACAGCGAGAGTGAGGACCCCTTCACCTCCCATCAGGCACGTAGACAGACGGCCTCGGGGTCTCAGCGAGGGGCCATGGCCCCCTTCTATAATTACCCGGGGGCCGGGTGGACACCCCCCTTTTCTAGCGCGCCGCCCCTCCCGTGAGTAACACAGACACACAGACACGCAGACAGACAGACAGACAGAACGTCCCAGATGTTTCAAGAGGAGGAGGAGGTTGCTCTTAGATACAGCCTTGGCATCAAGCTTGTGTTTCTGTGTCAAGATCTGTACCTACGGGCAACTTTTCTACTGATGCCCCCCAGATCAGAAATTGTGAAAAGTCCAGGATGTTGTATGAAAACACATAGTAGAGTATACTTAAACAACACATAGAGATATTTTTGTGCAGACACATAGGCTTTTTGGTGAAGTGAAATCACACCTTTCCCCCTTCAAAACAGCATTCATGACATATATAAGAGATGTTGGACATAATGCACACCTATCTTTACAAGAGAGAGAAGTGGAAGTGCAGTATAGTCAGATAGGTTTACACATAGTCCAAATTCACAGAGCTGTCAGGTTAAGCACATGCATTGCAGACAGACACACAGACAGGTCAATATGGACTACAGTGTAGGCAGAGAAACAGACACAACTCCAGAGGTCTGTCTGTCTGTCTGTGTGTCTGTCTATTTCGTCTGTCGAGTGCTTCAGGGCAGACGATGTAGGCCGCTCGGTCATTTCACAGATCTTGTCTCAAATGGCGTCCTGTCTCCTAAACAGTAGTAGACTACTGCTGTGTTGGGGGGAGGGTGTCATTGACGAGGCTGCGCTCGTAAAAACTCCGGTGATGTGAGGCTCAGGTTCACTATAGGTAAACCCGCCCCACCCTTCCCCAACACCCCTCCAAAAAACCCCTCCTGCATCCGTCTCATCTGTCTCCTCACTGTGATGTCCAAACCTCTCAAGTTATTTCTATGGAATTGTCCTTGTTGCTTTACTCCCTGTCATACCTCCTGCTTCCTTTTTTTTGGGTTCTCCGTCTTTCTCACTTTCAATTTTCTCATCTTATTATGATACTTCCCTTTCTCCCTTGCTGGTGTGTTTCCAAGCTTAGTTAGTGCTCTGAGTAACCTAATCGTGGACTATTTAACTTCTTATTCTAATGCCAGATGATCATCTTGACGGCTCCCATATCTAATGGTAACACAGAAATGCAAGGATACTGACTAAACTAAACTGTCAAGGCTCAGAAACTCAGCTAGCGCTAAAAATACAGTCCACTCCTCTTAAATGGAATCTGCTCGGGATTGCTTTAAAAGCTTTCTGGGGTTTATCATGCAGATAAACAAATTCATTAGGAAAACAACATTACAGCGGAAATGGGACTGGTGAGTCACACCCAGCTCTAAATGCATGTAATTGCAGATTATTGTATAAATCCTACAGTGCATCATCAGCCAGGAGTGGACTGTACCTCTGCAGCTGGTGCTCACAGTGCCAGTAGAACTAATACCTACTAGTTATACGGAGTGCTGTGTTTTTCCGCACTATATTTCTAACCGCTCTTTCTCCTTCTTTCCTGTTACCTGTCCTTGGGTCCCGTCACCCTGCGGCCCTCCGTCCCCTCTGTCTTTCTCAATGTGTCTCACCCCTGTTTCCCCTCTCTTCTTCATCCTCCATTTTTCCTCTCCCTCTGTCCTTGTCTCTTTCTATTTCTATACAGGACTCCAAACGTTTCCTCCAATGGCAACCCTGGCTATGAGAGCCTCCCCTTGACTGACAGGCAGTCCCCACCCCCCTCTGTGAGTTCCTCTGTACTTGTGACGTCATCGCAATCTGTGCCATTTTATCGTTGCTGTTAGTGCACACACTCGCCTTGATAATCAGTAGCAAACGGACTAACATGGTGGCGAGGCTTCAAACTCGCAGGACCCTGTGGGCTGGCCTTTTTGTACCTTTTGATGCTTCAAAAGGTGCAAAACATGAAAGATAATTTACATATCTTCACTGTTACCATTTAACTTGTACATAACTCTTTGTTACTAACATCAATCTGAGAGCTTTGTTTTATTATTGCTATCTGACCATTTTACAGAGCACCAAATGTAACCTTCACCATAACAATTTTAATTAATAATAAACATTCAGTGTGAAAGTTTGGATTCCAAATCAAGTTTCCCTTACTAGATTCTTTTCTGTAGTTTTCAATTGCATGTCATGGTCTTGCTTGAGATGCGATATGTACTGTATATATGACCCATGTCATCACGTGATCAAGTCTCATGATTACAACTTACCTCAATAAAAACAGTGCAATGCCCATCCACTGACACCATAATATGCACCTGAAAGCTTCAGAAAAAGCTAGTAAGAAGACATTGACGTTGATTTAATTGTCAAAATAATCTTCGTTAATTTCAAAGAAGGAAGTTCGAAAGGAAATTAGCGGTCTAATATTAAAAGCCCCTTAAAATGCTGTACCTTACTCTTCTATTTCTTGAGCTTTCAGGCGCATCTTGTGGTCTTCCTCAGTAGATGGAGTCTGGAGTTGCAGTCCCCCACACCCCATAAATGACCACAATTTATCACATGACCAAACTGTCTGGTGATGACAGTTTAGCTGCCTTTCACAAGTGAGCAAACTACATGTGTGGAGGAAGACCATGAGATGCAGCTGAAATCTGGAAAAAAGCCGATTTCTTTTATCAAAATAATGAACACATTTAGAACAGTCTTCTTTAACTGACTGTCAACAGTTGCTTTTGTGGAAGTAATATAGCCGGTCAGATAGTGAGCAAAACATGTGCTGTCTGCTACTCTCGTTGAGTTGATTCTCACATGGGTGAATAACAAATTGTTGTTCTTTTCTCTTTTATTTTCTCTCAATACACTGTTGGACCGTCTGAACTTCGCTTCTCTTGAATCCCATGGTCTGTTGTGGACGTACAGTACTCTCCCAGCATGCTGACTGGTTACGGGGGAGGTCAATCACACCCCAACCCTGCCCATTCGCGGAACCTGTATTCACGTTGATTATTATTTTTTTGTTAGGAAATGTATAGAAAAAAAATGTTTAGTTTTCATATGGACACTTTACTGAAATGAAAAAAAAACTAATCTAAATAAAATGAATGCTAGGTGTGAATTCAAAGTGCATAACGTCAGTACCACTGAATATTATTATTATGAGAAGCACTTAAAAGGAACAGGTCTAAATGGACTGCTGATATAACAGAAAGTGATGAGGCTAGTAGGGTGGTTGTGCAAAGCTATGAACCAAGTCTGCTTGGGCTAAATTCTTTCCCCTTGTCTGTCCAAACTCTGTGTAAACTGTGAACAGTGGTGAGGCAAGTCAGAATGGTATTGACGTTACTACGTTGTAGTTTTATATTCTTAAATGTATCAGTACCACTAATTTATTTTTAAGTTTTTATATATTGTTGTAGAAAAGCTCTGGCACGTAGCAACAACACACATTTTTTTTCTGTGAATGGTCATGCAGTTCCCTCACTTGGTATAATTTTTTTAATTATTACTTTTTATAGGTGGCAATTCTGTATTTTCCTTGTATTACCTTATGGTATTCTGTATATCTCACTGTCTATAATATCCGAGTAATCATGAACCTTTGCTCTTAAAAAAACAAACAAAAAAAACATGAGGGCTGCCAAGACCCTGTTTTAATGATTGAATGGAGAACTACAACTGCCACTCAAGTCTTGAGAGTGGAGAACTATAAATCCCATGCAATGACAGCAGGTACATAGCAATAGGATTCTTGCTACTGATGCTGCAGTAGCCCTACCGTAAATAGCAATAATAACTATGTATAGCATTGGGTTTCTGAGATCTCTCCAAGATGTTTTGTGTATATATGGTATGGTATGTTGGAGATTTCATTGAATCCCCCGTGCTTGCCAACTGACCTTGTTAACCCTTGAATTGAGTTTGTATGGTTACCAATGCTCCTTTTCAATGGCATCCTTTTACACTCAAGAGTCTAATATAAATAAAAATAACTTCAATAACCATCACCTGGTCTTCCTCGTGTCTACAAGTCTATGCAATGTAAGTAACAAACACACATCGCATGCTTTACAACAGATTCATACTTAAAACCGGTCAAAGTTTAATATAAATAAGCTTCAATATTCTGAACCTCTGAGCTTAGGTTTGTGAGTCAGTTAATCACTACTGTGTACCACAGTGAGTGTTCCGTTTCTTTTAGATATGCATAGATCAATAGGAGACAAAATACAAACATCAAGGTTACATACAGTCACTGAACCAGTGTTTTTGCATGTTTGACTCATTCACAACTAATCAAGAATAGTGTACTTTTTATTCCTGCAATCTTTCCTCTTTAGATTTTAAATAAAGGGATCTTCCTAACCACCATGCAGCCTCCTGCTTTTACTCGTTGAAGAGCTGTGTGAAACTCAACCTGTAGAAACTTGAAACCTGGTGTAGATGGATAATCAATCACAATCACAAACAAAGTCGTGTCTGCTTTTGTTTTGTCAAAGCTTTGTTACTGTGTGGACACTGCATTATCACACATCATTAACATCTTTCAGAAAACCAAAAGCAGGTTCACGATGTCCACTGTGAAGGATTACTGATCAACGGCATATGAAATCTCTGCAGATTTCTCTGCTGTTTTATTTTTTTTATACTAAAGCTAAATGAAAGGAAAACAAAGACTACCTCGAGTATAAGAAAAGACATTAAAAAAATCTATAAATTTAAGAACTGTTGTACTCAATGGATGAAAACATGCAAAGACACCAGTAGTCCTTCAATGCCTTATCAGTAACTGTGGCTGTATGGACACAAATCTGCAGTGCATAGAAGGTTTACAACAAAGGTCTTGGGTAGAGATGGTGCACTAAGGTGCTGCTTGACAACTGATCAATTTTGACATGACCATCTTGTGTGCACAGTACACACTGATCTCATTTTGGCGGCTTGATCGTTAAAGTCTGGGACAGTGACATCTTGTGTAGCAAATTCAGCTGAACCATTTTCCTCTCGGTGATGTCTTAGTAACCAAAGTAGTGTCCAGTTATCCTTATTGCAGATGGTTTTTTCATGCAAGAGCACAGCAATTTTCACAAAACTGTAAAAATTCAGTCATATGTCACAACTCGGGTATCATCTAACTAGCCTCCTCAGTTGTCTGAAACCTTGTTAGCTTAGATGCCCACTTCCCTAGTGTTAACACAAAGGTATCAAGAGGAGGACAATGTAGGTACATTGGTCAAATCGGAGCAACAGCAGTTACAAGCAAAACAGTTCGTTCAGGAGTAAACACCTGTCTCTTCTTCTCTTTGGAATTTCCTCTGTGTAGATATTAAATGTATTTTAGTGCATTCCCTGAAGAGTTTTCTGTAATGAGGTGTTGGTTTAAAAAAAAGTCTCAGTTTTTTTCCATGCTATGTAAAAGGTATGTCCTGTCCCAAGATATCACTTCTTGGGGTTGTCGGGGTTCAGCCATGAACCGTCCTCCTCCACCTCCCGCCCGACAACCAGGAGCATCTCTGCCACATCCTGAGAAAGCTGTTCACTGAGAAACGTGCTGAAAGTGAAACAAGGACGACAGAAGAGAAAAGGTTAGAATAACTCTGGACACAGACAGGGATTACTGGAGTGCAGTGTTCTAACAAACACCAACAGTGAGGTAAGCCCCATGTGACCATTCATGTGGGATGACTCACTCGCTGAGTTCAAGCAGCACACAAAAGCCAAGTTCTAATCCAACTGAGAACACACAGACACAAAGTCTAAAGAGCACTGGAAAATTTTTAAAGATGTAAATGCATTCTTACCGTAGTTCTGCTTCCCCCCCAATACAGACAGGGCTCTTCAGTTTGGAGTCGAGGTTGTAGTACTGTCCATTAACTTGCCGAACCGCAAGCCAGTGCCGCCGTCGGAGTGGGAGGGACACAATCCCCAGAGATACTCGTGATGGGACATTGAGAATGAAACCCTGGACCTTCGACATGCAAAGGCTCTGAACCGTCCTGTGTGAGAGATATATTAGAGACATTCTTAATTACATAACATCTATATGTTACGTTTGGTACGTTTCAGGAGATATTTCATGATGAACTGTTGCAATAGACTGTTAGTGAACCCACTTGACAGTGGGGATACATGGTGTGATGGTCTAGTATTATATTCTACTATTTGTGCAGAAATGGGAATTCTCTGCATCTGTGAGTCTACAGATATGCATTTGTTCTTTGATTGCCTGACACAACCAGCTGGTTCTCAGAGTTTATGAATAGCTTTTCAATCATTAAACTTTGAACAAACTCACTTATCTTTTTCCAATTTTCCATGGAAATTGGAGAACTGCACTACCAACTGAAAAAAAAACAGCCCAGAAATGCTAAGTAATGTGTGTTTTGGAACGGACTGTGCCTTAATCGCATAATGATGCCTTTCAGATTTCAGTAAGACATGTTAGTGCAGTAAAGTTTGAAGTTGCAGGGGAGAAAAAGATTTTCTCACCTCACGGGGCTCAGTTTGTCTCACTCACCTGCGTTTGTCCCACCACACCGCAGCCAGCTCCCTGCTCTGTAGCGCCGCCATGATGACGTTGACGTCGTAGTTTCCCGTGCCTAACACTGAGCGATGAGGGTTCACCACACACTGGGGAGCCAGTCTGCCGAGAGGGAGCAACAGAGCGTTAAGAGCATTTTAAAGGGAAAATCCACCTCGTATTTGGTACAGCTCTTATTTTAATTTCGCCACTTTGCCAGGATTGTTGTGAATTAGCTCTGCTAATGGTTATGTTTGCTCTTTTCTGTATGAATATCCCCACATTCCTGGCTTAACTGTCAATACAACAAATGTGGTGATTTAATTGATCAAAATGTTTTTGTTTATAACAAACTGGGCCAAATTTTTCAGAGTCAGTGAAGTCACAGGGTTTCAGGAAATTCTTTAGCTGAGGTCATAAGCTCATGACTCAGCTTCTCTGGTAGTCAAATAAGTTAGTGCATGGTATCCTAAACAATAGCCACACAAAATACAACAGCTTTTGCTAGGTCACATTGACTTTACTGTCCGAAGCAATGGGTCAGGACAAATTAAGTTTTGGTTGACATTCCCTGTTTATACATTCAGCAATGGAAGGTTTATCATCAACACAATGTTAAACAGCATTTACTGCTATATCTGAAACTAGGAACTTCTCTGTGTTACTCCATAATTCAGTCACCAAGTGTTCCCTGTGCAAACCTTTGGAGATAATCAAAATGTATTTGTTTTCTACCTGTTATCAAGCAGCAGGTTAGATGTTCAGAGGTATTTTTGTGAACCCACAGGTGTCTACCAGTCTATCTGGAATGATAAAATGTTTGTCCGGGGCGAAACCATGACTATACTACTCCTCTCTGCTCAGTGGCATTTGCAGTGTGTGGAAATACTGGATTTTAATGTCTGTGTCACCTCGAGCAAACATTTTATCACTCTGGACAGAGAGCAGACATCTGTAGAGTAACAAAAAGTAACTGTGAAGATACAACCAGCTGCTGCTTAACATGTAAAGAAATGAAGCTTTGACAGGGAACTCTATGTAGCCAAATTATGTAGTAATGTCTGGGGTGCTGATGAACATATGGGGCTAGGGGCCAATAACATGTCAGGTGACAAATTTCTTTTTTGCAAAGTTCCCGTTGTTAACTAATGTTTCTGGGATTCATACTTTGAATGTGCTTGTTGGTTGATGCAAAGCAATTATATATATATTTTTTCTCTCTCTCTGCAGTAATGTGAGCAGACACACAGACTCACTATCAAAACGTTACCCACCGTTTGCAGATGTCATCGGCTGTCTCCTTGGTGAACACCCGCTCCTGGAGCACGTTGTTGAGTGCGTGAATCGCGCACAGCTCCAGTCGTTGCTTCTCGTGAAACACGTCTCCTTCGCTCATACTAATGCTTAGCACACACAAGCACACAGAAGAAGAAACGTCAACAGGGTAAACACCGACTAAAGTATAGGCGGGCAGCTATGGCAGCAGCCATGCAGCACAGTTTGCAGCCCATTCAGGCTAACGATAAAAGTTAAAAGTGGTTAGCTTACCGTAACGGAGGCTAAAATGTGAAGGCCAACTGTTTACACTCTGCATTTGGTTGCTGACAGATTGCAAAACAACGACAAAGTGGACTATTATTAATCAACAATAGCAAAAGAAAGCTACTGACCTGCTGATAAAGCGATTTCCCGTTAAAAAGATGCTGGAGTCTGACAGCTACATCCAGAAACCGGAAGCAGATCCGTTGTTTGTTGTGATGTTTTTGTTGTGCGGCTGTCACGCCCATTTACGGTATTCACAGCAGCACTGGAAAACCTGTCCGCTACTGTAACATGTGATTTTTCTCGGGCAAATACAAAATACAATAAAATAAACGTTACAGGAAACTTATTTCCTTGGACACGCACACAAAGGTTCCCATCCACCATCCATGGTCGGGTCTCTTGACTGTGGACGTGATGTTGAAGCGCCCTCTAGTGCTGAGCCCGTTAATAATGATCATGATGAAGGTGCTGGTGGTAATTTATAATTTTTTATTAATATAAAAACTGATGATAAAATTACAATGTATGTAGATGGAGATTCTGAGTTATATAAAACGGGCCATAAACTATCAGTGGTGGAAGCAATACTAATATATTTCTTGGGTACAAATAGCAATCCCAGAGTGCACACATATCCTACTCGGCCTACACTGTTACAAGTGAAAGCCCTGCATTTAAAGTTAAAGTACAAAAGTATTACCATCAAAATATACTTAAAGTAGATCACTCATGTTATAGAATTATAGAAGAATGTATATTATATTATTGGATAATGACTAGTGATGCCTTAATCTGTTTCACTGCAGCTGGTGAATGTGGGGCATAAATAAATATATATATTTCTATATATAGAAAAATTATATATTTCTATATTTATTTATTTATTTATTATTATTTATTTATATACTGCTGGGTAGCATGTGAATTCCCCCAAGTCTGATTGATCTAATAAAATCATAATATATTTGTAGATTATATTTTGTAGCATTAGTCTGAATCTGCAATGTAACAATTTAACTAAATCTAATCAACTAATCAAAGAAGTGTAGTGGAGTAAAAACATGGAGAGTAAATAAGAGTAAAGAATATATTATTTGCCTCTGAACTAGTGGGGTAGAAATATAAAGTAGCAGAACATGGAAATACTCTAGAAAATAGAAATTAAATAACTCAATTCTCAATTGTACTTGAGTTAATGTAGGCTACTTAGTTATAATCCACCACAGTAAACTATCATCAGTGGTGGAACATTAACTATTTACATTTACACATGTAATGTAAAGTTTTGCGGTACTAAAACTTTTCATGACTTTTTAATTGTATGCTGCTTTATACTTTAATTCCACTATGTATTTGACAGCTGTAGTTACTGGTTACTTTTCATATTTACATTTTTAATAAAAATCATATCATCAACAAATAAATGGTGGTATTATTGTAGATTAAGCTACCCAGCATAAAGTAGCTACAAGTAACTCCACTTTTCCCAGCTGTTTCATTAAAGTGATGCTTACATATTTATGCATCAAGAATTATAATCCAATTAAATAACATATGGCTCTGTAATTAGTCATTCTGCATAATAAGTGCTTTTACTTTTGGTAGGCTACTTTAAGTATATTTTGTACTTTTACTTGAAATGACATCCAAGTGACAACAAATGACATAGAAGCAACAATAAATATATGTATAGGAACAAAAAAAGCACATGAGAGCTTATTGATTGCTTCTACCTAAATAATATAAAACACATTCACAGTCTTAAATATACAGTATATATGTTATTATATAAAACAACAACAACAAACATTATAAAACAGGCCAGTATCAGATAACAGTATCTTATTAAAAATTACCTCTCCTTGTGAGATGTTTGAGAAGATAAAGATTAGATACCTGAGCCTAGTTAGTTACAGCAATTAAATCGTGTTACAGGCACATATGATGTGATATTGGAACTTATTTGCAGATGGAGGAGGGTTTTTACTGATAATGATGATATAGTGCTGTGGTTATTTTTATTTTTTGTAGTCACCTCCAGTCCTGCATCTTGCAACTCAACATCCACAACCACAATGGAAATAAGTCTTGGACATTATTGTGATATCTTTGACGTTTCTTTATGCTTTGTGTGATTTTATGTACTCCTTCTTGTAGACTAAACCGTTTTGGAGTCTAGGTTGTGAAAGTGGCCTGTTCATACCAAACTTATATACATTTTCGCACATGTACATGGTATCTTTGCTAAAGTATATGATCTTCAAAACATCTTGCTATATGGTGAATGTTTCTAGTTTTAAGGAGAGACATGGTGAGAGCAAAATAGGTAGGTAGGTGGGTAGGTTTATTTGTCACAGTATAACAAGTTATAGAGTGAAATTGAGCTTTGTAACTCCCTTCTGCTACATAGCAGACAATATTAATAATCAATTATGAAAAATGGTGAACAGAAATAATCATCACTGGAGCAGTGCTGAGGATGAGTTAGAGTTTAAGAGTCTGATAGCTTGGGGGAGAAAAGCTGCTCTGCAGGAACTTTTACATCTCTTCCCAGAAGGCAGCAGGGTGAACAGGCTGTGGCTGGGGTGGGTACTGTCCTTTAGTATCATTTGGGCTCTGCACAAACACCTCACCGATAAAATAATGCTGTGTTTGACTTAATGATAAGACCCCCGCTATTTTGTGCGCCCTAGCTACTCCTGTAAACGTCTGCCTTCATCTTTGCCATTATGAGCAGTGTCTGCTTTTGAAGGTGGTTACAGTTGTATCAGTCTCACACATAGACTGTTAAATATTCATCTACTCATTACTGTTCTCCCTTTCCTGCTTCTATTCTACTGTAAGTCGCTTTGGATAAAAGCGTTTGCCAAATGAGTAAATGTAAATGTAATGAATTTAGATTTGATACACAGTCAAATTTTCTCTTCTGACTCTTAATTGTATTGTTCAGGGGAATGTGAGTTTTTCAAACAGACCAATAGCTGACTAGCATCAGTCATTATTTTATTTCTGTGTTGCTGATAGGCCTCCCCACTTTGACGCAACGACAATACAGTATAATGATTGGATCGTCTTTTCAGACGCATCGCGTCACTAAGATGTCCATTGGTCTGTGGTAACGTTAGTAGGTTAAACTGAGGATCGTATTTTTGTTCCTGTGTCAACGAAAATAAGAAAAGATCCGGAGCCAGTGAGACCCGGCTAAGTTTTCCTCAAAGATATTTTTCAAACATTACGGAAAAGTCTCCACATATCTGACACCAGCCAGACATCGACCACTTTAGCAGAACTCCTTTTGAAGATGGTAGGTTTCACGGCAGAGCTAATGGCTAACGGGGGTATCTGCTAGCTTGATTCGATGTTTAGCCGTCGCCAACCGTCGAGCTTTTAATTTGGACTGTGTCTACTTGCTGGAGTCTCTTGCGTTAACCAAGAAACGTAATCTGCATTTCTAAAATGTATAAGATAAACTCGTCATAATAAATACTGGATCACACATTTTAAAACACAGAGCAGCTTCAACATGAACGTTATCAGACTAAGGCTAGGCTAGGACTGCTAACCGCAATGAAACGCTAACCTACCGTTAAAGTTATCTTCACTCTGTGTGGTCGTTAATGAATGTTACCATTACCTTACTGTTATGGTAACGTTAATGTAGCTTGACTTTTGTGATTGTGTTGATGCCAGATAAGCTTACGTTAAACAAATTAGATAAGAACTTGTTAGACTAGCGTTCTAACGTTATGCGGCTTCTTGCGTGGTGCAAGAACTTTAACGTTAGTAACTTAACTCACCAAAGAAAGCTCATTGTTTCTTCGGTAAAAGTTAAAATGATCAACGTTATGAATATAACGACATAACGTTAGTAATAAAGCGCAACCAAACATAGAAAACCACGCCGTGTCTGTAAGTTAACATTAACCTTACATCAGCAAGAGGAAAAGATGGAGCATCTCAATTGATGTTAGTGGTGGGTTTGTCTTGTGCCAGTTGGATCTTTAGTGATAGTTGATATTTTACTATTTTCTTTATTATTAAAAATACCAGTATGTCGAAAAATGTTTGTCGACATCATTAAAAACGTCGCATTGGTTTATTTTAATGTTAGCGCAATGGATTGATAATCCTTGATAAAAATGGACAGTTTTGATGATAGCTTAAACATTTAAGTCATACCAGTTAGGTCTGCGGTGACCAGGCTATTGTGGCTTATCGAAGCTGATAACAGTATTTGTAATTTTCACAAACTTGATACGTTATTTTTGCCTAATTAGTCAAAATATAAGTACAAAACATGTTGCCAATCATAAGGAAATACAACCATAGTACTTGCAAGCATTGTATATATTTTAGGCAGTTACATTAGGTGACAGGCCATTATCAATATACTAGATACACTGTACAGTCATGAGTACATTTAACTATTCTGTCGACCAAAGTGAACTTCCTCTCTTCAGTCAGTAAGTTTTTGGCGTTGGCAAAGCAGTTCTCAACATGGTCTAAATACCCCTTTTTAAAATAAAGCTTTTGCCCCATGGGTTTGTGCCTGTTTTTGTCCATATGCAGAACCCAAGTTGACTAACTCATCTTGCTGTCTCTCTCTAGAACTCCAATGTGGAGAATTTGCCGCCTCATGTTCTTCGCTTGGTCTACAAAGAGGTTTCAGCTTTAGCAGCAGACCCGCCTGAGGGTATCAAGATTTATCCCAGTGAGGAAGACATAACTGAACTGCATACAGCCATTGAAGGACCAGGTAAAGATTGCAACATGGTGTTACGCAAGCTTCCACTGGCTATGATAAGATGCATTAAAACATTGCAGTACTAATTTTGATTTTTGCATAGAAACTCACACTGGTCTGCACCTTGCCAATGCATTATAAGAAATTATTCATGATAAGACACTTAAGATAGGTCATTTTAATGTCTTTTATTCCATTTTTTATTTCATGCTGCAGTGTCTTTCACATTTCATTATTGATTTGGGTATATTTCTTTCTGTCCACAAGACAGTTTTCTTAGTATAATATCATACTGTCTCACTATTTGTAAAAAAAAAAAAAAAAAAAAGTCTGAAACCCTGAACAAATGGAATTACTGAAAGGTCTACACTGAACATGTATTTTGACATTTTATTGATTTGACATGCAAGCTATCAGGTAACACTCGCAGGATTCCTGTAGAACCATTGACTGTGTCAAAATGAACAGCGTGTCTCCACTTCCGCCTACTGTACAAAAGTAAAGCCAAAATATTCCGGACAGGGGGGCTGCCATGAACTTTGTTTTTTTTGTTGTTGTTTGGCCCATGTCCCTTGTGCTAACATGGAGAGGGTGGCGTTTATGACCTATACAGCAGCCAGCCACCGGAAGATTTTGGCTTCACTTTTGGGAAGCTGTCATGTTACGCAAAAAAATGTGAATCTTGGTTGTGGGAATGGTCTCTTTTTGGTAATTTCATTGTATTTTTGCTTGAGGCTGTACCAAACAAGGATGTTCCCTTACGTCTGAAGAGTGTGATTTTTAGGCCGTGGCTTCTGTGTAGCATCACAATGCTTCATTTATAACAGTATGTTGTGACACATTTTGACCTATCTCAAAAATTTGCAGCTGGATATTGCACTTGACCATATTGCGATTTCAATAATATTTCGATTGATCGTTCTGCCCTGTGGTTTATATATATATATATATATATATATATATATATATATATATAAGTAGAACATATTAGGGCTGCAGCTAACGATTTTAGTATTCGAAGCTTCCATAGATTATTTCAACGATTCATCGTTGAGTCGTTGAAGAAGTACTTTTGCTTGGCGTCATATGACGGCAGTCTTGAAGTTTGTGGTGGTGTTGTGGCGTTCACGCTACGTGACTGATAGGTGACAGGGACACAAACACACTACAGGAGCTGAAAGCGGCTCTGTCACCTGATGCAGGTCTCCAATCCACGTTTTGTCAAGAAAACACATGGGAAATGTGAAACGGGAAATGAGCAATCCTGCACACGAAACAGCTGTTTTTACTATCGCCATCTTTATAATAACAGACAAAGAATCTGGGTGAAAGGATGGATTAACATATGCAGGTAGCAGGGATTGTCTGAGCTACAGAGAGAGCTGCAGGTGAGTTAAAAGGTGCAGCTCCCCGACACCCAGTTAATGAATGACTGTGAGGTTACAACTCACGGCCCAAAACGGAGAACAACAAACGCACGTGTACATTTTCAGCTGAGGTCTGCGGCTTACTTTGGCTAGCCTTCAACTCAACAATCAATCATGATTTCAGCTAAATGCTAAAGTTGCTGTTACTGTTTAAGCTGATGATACATGGAGCAACATTTAGAGCAATCGTGCAGGGCAACATTGCCGTCAATGGTAAAGATTACTACCGTAATCCCCTTCCCCCACCACTCCGCCGCTATCCGTTCAAAACATAGTCAGACTTGCCACCAGCAAGATTGCTCAAAAAGTTGCCCCGTGTATCATCAGCTTTACCTTGTCTGTGGTCCGCTGCCAGAACATCGGGGCTTCGTTATAAATTTCGTTTTACGGTGGACGGACTATAACATTACAGAGTTTTCTTTAGTTTGAAATAATCCCATACTTTGGACACTTTCTTCTTTGTCCCTTGCTATTTTCTCTCTCCTCCTCCACATTGCAAACAGCACCATTATAATCACGTCGTGTTCACAGCGTAAGCGCGATGTGCGACAGTAATAAATGTCCGTGCGAAACACTGTAGTGTATAGTTAAATGGATTAAACGAAGCATCGATGCAAATAATTTTTGTCAGTGAATTTTATTAATCGATTTTATCGTTTTAATCGATGAATCGTTTCAGCCCTAGAACATATACTTTACTGTAAAGGGAAACTAAAAAAATTAAACAGTCGCCATGCAATTTGTGTAGGTCCGCAAGGATTTTATCACATCCAATCTTAAATAACTAATGTATAAAATTATTTTTAAAATAAAGATTATTTTATATTTCCTTTGACTGTCTTTATAATGCCATTATTGGTCAAGAGCTACCTTTAGCCCGGTAGCTAACTTGCAGCTTATGGTTTATTGTATACTTCTGATTACAAATTTGCTGCATCCACATTATACTTGCAGTTTACAGTATGTCAGCTGCCCCACCGCTACACATTTAGTAATAGCATGATGACTATTTGGCAGTGAACAGAGATTTCTCTTTTTTTTTATCATCCCAAGGTAATTACACCTGTTGCCTGTTTACCTCTCCCTGTGATTGCGAAGATGTCACAGTTGTCCGCTCCACTATGTTTAGGTAGTTGGTGTTAACTATCTATGCGTAAATGTTAAGATCGGCCACCAGCTTCATGGAACTACTTATTTATTCTTTTTTCTTTTTTTTTTCTTTTTTTTTTTTACATAATTTATGTTTTGCATAATTTACTCATGAGACAAACAACTAAGTCGATTTTTCTTCTCCATGGCTCCTTGAAAATGTACTTACTATTATATAATGGCTCTATTTATGATGTTGCTAATTACATGTGAGACACATAACCCACTTGAACCACACAGTCAACAGTGTACATGCTATCTTGTCACTATGAGCTCATTGCTTCAGACCTTGTTATTGTTAAGTAGGCCTTGAGGAGCCAGACACTTGTCCGCATTTCGTTAACTCCCCCACTGAGCAACATAGCTTTGATTTATTGGGTACTGATACTATCAAACAAACAAACTATCTAAAACTGACACATACACTTTCAAGTGGCACTACAGTGATAAAGACAGGGAGTTTGAACTAAATGATCTCTGGCTGACTTGGGTGATTCTTTGTTTTTGTTAGTTGACTCAGTTGCCGCTTGATGCCCCTCTTTCTTTCTCTGGAGCAAATTTGGCACAGTCATTACATACTGTTCATGAGATGAATTCTTTATGCTTTGACAGAGGGAACTCCATTTGCTGGTGGCGTTTTCCGAATGCGTCTGGTCCTCGGGAAGGACTTCCCTGCTGTTCCACCCAAGGGGTATTTCCTGACCAAGATTTTTCACCCCAACGTGGGTCACAAGGGAGAGATCTGTGTCAACGTGCTGAAGAGGGACTGGAAAGCAGAACTCGGCCTCCGACATGTCTTACTTGTAAGAGGCACCATCCGTCTTGGTTGGTCTGAGTGTCAGCCTAGTTGCCTCCGCTGTTTTTACATTTCCGTCTTTATTTCCCCACAGACGATCAAGTGTCTTCTCATCCATCCGAACCCAGAGTCGGCTCTGAACGAAGAGGCTGGGCGTTTGCTGTTAGAGGACTATGCAGAATATGAGTCCCGAGCTCGTCTGCTCACAGAGATCCATGCGATGGGCGGGCCCGGCGGTACCTCTGGGGCACCTCAGGACCCTAATGACGGCCCACAGCCAAAGAAGCACGCGGGTGACCCCATGAAGAGAGCGGGACCCAGTGCAGCAGCTGTGCCAGCAGCTCTGGGTAATGGAGCTAATGGAGCCAGTACCACCACCAGCAATAGCAACAGTAATGGTAACACCAATAATGTAGCAGGGAAAAAGAAAGCAGATAAAAAGCGCGCATTGAGGCGACTTTAATACCTCAGCGAAATTCTCAGTGTGTGAGCTTGTATGTGTGTGAGCGCGAGTGTGTGTAAATATAAATATTGAAGTGTGCTATGTTTTGTTCCCTTATTTTCTGACTCTTTCTACCACCTAGCCAGACTGTCCACTTTGTACTTACACCTTCTGTTTTGCCATCAGTTTGTCCTGTTGGTATTACAGGTTTGTTAATTATTTCCATACCTAAAGACATGATGACGAATATTTTGTCCTCTTTAAAAAGGAAAGATGAAAGATTTCACCTCCACTGCGGAAATTATGTCATCAGTTGTATTTTGCTCTTGGCCTAGTGTGAATGAATGATAAAGGGAATGAGTTTCACTGTGCAAAATGTGGCCTCTAATGTCCATTAATACGACAACCACTATTGTTTAAACTTGATATCAGCCCTTTTTTGTAAAGTGTTTCTTGGACAATGCTGTGATGGTACTGTGTACTGCTCAGCCAGACTCAACCCTTGAGTCTAAACCAGGATGTAACTTTAAAAAAACAGGTTTTCAAATTGAGCTCAAAGCAAATAATGGTAGAAGTTTCTAAACAGTTATGCAAGAAGTTGGTGGGTTCACTATTGGGAGAGAAATGTTAATGTCACACAGTCTTTTTAAATTGTATTTTTCACATTGTGATCTGAATGAAGTAAAGGTATGGAAAGAGTTAGCAGTGGAGTATAAGTCTGTTATGTTCTTAATGGAATCTCAACCCCCTTTTTTAAGTTTATTTTTTATTTTTCTAAAATTGTTTCACTGTCCAGTATTTTCAAAAGTTGTTTATAATTGACATGTTCATATTCAGCTGTCTTGTGGTTGTGTGTGAAGACCTAGATCAGTGGCTTTAGGGGAACAGGGTAGGTTGCCAGACTACTTTTTTATATTAAAAAACAAAAACAAAAAAAGAATCATCTATTCTCTGTACTGAGCATACAGTGGTGTGACTCGTTTAAACTGCTCCTGATTCCCTACAAAGCAGTTATGTGCTCTCAAATTCCCAGCTCTCCTACCGGCCATGTGGGTACCTGAGCAGACATCTGTAGGAGAACTTTCCACGTTTGATAATTCGTCTCCTGACCTGTTGCACTGGTGGGGTTTCCTGGGCAGGTTTTCTCTCTGTTCAAAATGCATGCGGGGTTCTACATTTCCCAAGGAAACACACTGAAGCGCTGTGTTAATTTGGATGGAAAAGATGCCTGTGAAACCCCTGCTATTGTGCAGACTGTTGGCTGGATATTTTGTGTCCATTTTAAATTATTTAAATTAATAAAACATTGAAATAGGAGAAGTGAAATGAAAAATGAGTCATATTTGCTCTTTTATTTGGTGTCGGTTTGCATACTGTTTGTTATGGTAAAAATGTTCCAGTTCTGCAATAATGTGTGTGCGCGCGAGTGTATCAGTAAAGCCTCTGAGAATGGATGCTAGGGTGAAGCTTATAGCCTACTGTTCAGTAGTATAATAGCACTTCATTTTGTTTATACTGGTCTCCTGTTCTGCCGTGATGGAATAACCATTATGAGGAAATCAGTAATTGCATCCACCCCAGCAAACCAGTGAGTGAAAGTGCACCCAGTAGAGCGTCATTGGACCATCTAATGAAGGGCTCCACTAGCCTCTGCAGACACGCAGCAGCCCACCCACCTATGTAGAAATAGCAGCCTGCCATGCAGGTAATAATAAGGCCCTTCTTAGACACCTGGGGCTTCACATAACCCGTTACACCTTCCCCAAGCTCCATTTTGGAAGTGCTTTCCACCTTCCCCACCTGCTATCCACCTCCATGGCATATCCTCTCCAATTTGTGCTAAAGCAGCTTTATTTGCTGTTATCATAAATCAAACACTTTGAAACATCTTTTCTTAAATTTAAAAATAATCTTTAGTCTGATGTAGTCGGGGTCAGGTGTAGGCTAAAGGGGAATGCATGATGGTTTTCCTGTGTCGCATACAGAGTAATTGGTGTTAATTATGATTCATCCTGTAGGCATAATGTGTGATCATTAATTCCAATTCATGTAGTCTATCGCAAATCCTCGGTTAAAAAAATCCGGTTTCATTCATGTAGCTACTGGTACTCTGAGGATCGTGAGGAGGCAGTTACTGTAGGCCTATGTGACAGTGGAAATGAAGCCAATCAAGAGCCAACTTCATCTCTTACAAACTTCACACACTGCCTCTTTCGTTTTGTGGATTTCCAGCTGGCCATGCTCGTCCTAAACTTAAAGACATGTGAGTGTTGCCATTGCAGGTCCCGGTGTAATTGACCGTTTCGTTCAAGCTCCAGTGTTAGCTTTTTGCGCCAGTCCTCTCTCCCCTTCCCAGTTTTCATCGCTTTCATAATTGCCACCAACATAATGACACAGTTGCTGTGGCAACCACGTCTCTCTTTTTTCCTCTTATCTCTCTCTCACACACACACACACACACACACACACTTCGGATCTCGGAGGTTTTCCGCCGAATATACCAGCTGATTTAATAAGTTCCCCCCGTTTTTATAGCTTTCTCTCAGCTTTGCCTTTTTACTTTTTGAAAGAACACTAAGCCAAATCCCTGACCAGTGGTCTGTTTTTTTTGTGGGAGCCCATAAAATGTAGGAGGCCTCTAGGTCATTCAATTAAAGAGGAAAATGAAATGTAGGGGAATAAAGATGAACGCCACCAGTTGAATGGGCCTAATGACCAGCAGCGCGGAGTTGAGCATCTCATCAGCACCAGTCTGACCAACCAATCACAGCGCTCCCCCACCGACGGACCTCTGTGAGGCCAGTCGCAGTTAGGCGGTGTAATCTATCTCGCTTGGAAATTATGAAGGGAACCAGCCTCAGTCAATTCTAGACGGGGAAAAGTTAAATTGGGCGAATTTGAAATTTTGAATAGGCCTATCTGACACCTGAATTAGGCTACCGGGTGTTCTCCGGGATAGTTGCACTCTAGTCTAGGCTATAGCCTAACTTGCGCTATACAACAAACGGAATTTTCTGAGGTAGGGTTGAATTGCCTTGTGACATGTATCAGAAAATCTCAGAACATCTCGTTTGACACACTCTCTCGCTCTCTCTCTCTCTCTTGCTCTCTCTCTTGCTTGCGTTTCCCCCCCTCTCTGCCGTGATATGGATTATGGAACAATAGCCTGATGGAGACACATCAAGACCGATTGAGATCTGCGGCGCTTGTGAAAAACACGGGCATTTAAAACAGGTGGCCGATCCGGCAACAGTTCACGCTGTCCTGATCATCCTCTGCTACAATAACAGGCTGCCATCTGAGAAAGGCTGAGATACAGTGCGCAGGCTCTCCCAGCGCTTTTCTCCAGCATCGAACCCCAGAGCAACGCACAGGTAAGACACGACATTATGCACCTTTTATTAATGCAGCAGCAGTTGCCGAATTACAGGCAAAACTGTTTGATACCTTTAATGCGTGTTTCTATCTGTGTGAAAAATGAGTTTGGCATCTGTTTAGACGCATCAGCTGTGCTGGAGGCTGTCGAACAAAACATTTGGATGAACGCTGCGCCACAGAAATATCTACACACTGGCTTTATGCTGGGAAGACGTGCTTTTAATCACTTAAACAGACAGACATTATGAACATATTGATATTAAGACCACTGATAACACACACGCATCCAGTTGGACTACACAAACACAAACACGCACACCGGCACGGATACACCCACGCACTTTTAACCTACTGCTACATGCAAGTCATGTCCAAAACCCGCATGCTTGTTCAGTGCAAGTTGCAACTTATTAACCTAATGAAGGATGGATTGTAGTCTGAAGAGTCAATGTCCAAATCACTTGGCTGATGCGAAGTCATTGCGCAGCATATATTTTACTGTTAAGACTAAAGCAACCGCAGCCCCGCCGCTTTCACTCTCATTAAACGTCTTTTGCAACAACATGACTTCTATTTAGGATGTTTTCCCCCGTCATTGATGCACACCACAGTTCGTTTTTGCAACAGCTTGTCTAAAGAAAAAGAAGCCATTTTGTTTCATTTCCAACAAACACCTGTTGAAATTGTTGCATGGCCAGCCTTATGCACAGCTGGTCATCATCCTGCAATGAAAGTAAGGCGCTGTTTGGCTCACTTGCTTTGATACAATTGTCTGCAGTGGCAGGAATCTGTGGCAATGGTTTGTTCTCCCTCCAGTGGCCATGTAACTCAGGGATGCATCTTCACAGTTCTCAATGTGTGCCCTTCACCCTTTGGTTCCCATCCTCACTCTCTCTCCCCATCTGCTGCATTGCCTCAACATCACACTGTAGAGATATCTACAGGAAAAAACATTTGCTCCTTTTGTATGTTGAGCTGGAAAGATCTGAGAGCTGGCCCTTCATATAGGCTATTGAATTAATATCTTGAACATCTAGAATTTTACATGCATTGTTAGATAGCTGTGCACATTGCACATTTGTCTGGGGGAGTGGTTTGGATATTTGGCCAGAGAATCCTCATGAAGTGAATGGAGTCTGGGAAGAAAAGATGGCAGTGGAAGTTGAGCAGCGCTCGCAGATGACGGCGCGAGGCATCAGTGTCATCTTGTCGAGCCGGAGACGGCAGATGTGACTTTGAAAGCTGGTTTGGCTAATGGGTGTCGATTGGATTCTGCCTCCCTTCTCTTTCACTGCCTCTTTCACTCACACACAGACAGAGCTGCAGTGCTATTCTGAGAGAGTTAGCTGCCTCAACCCACGCACAGAATCTGAGAAAGAGAGGAAGGCAGAACCAGGGAGAAAGAAGGACAAGGGGGGAGCAAGATGAATAAAGGAGAGAGAAAGAGACAAGGAGGTTTACAGAATGCCTACTATAGTCTCTCACATGCACACACACAGCCTTTTTTTCTTTTACAGTTTCAGATTCTACCCCTTTAACTGCTCTAACAGCATCTGATTTACACTCTTGATTAGCACTCTTCTTGTGTGTGGCATTGACAATATTTGCAGAACTGTTTGGCGGTGCTGTTTGTGTGATGTGCTATGTTGTATTGGTAAGTGCTGGGAGAAATGTACTTGATTCTGTGCCACCCACACACCGCCCTCCCACTCATGGTCGTCTCTGCATCTATACCTCTGGCTCTTCCCGCTCGCCACAATCTCTTTGCTCATTTAAATCCCTACCCTGCATTTATCCCTCTGCTCTCTTTCTCTCTTCTCCATCACTGGCTTTTACAGGGAGCGTGTTCCTCCTGCAACCAAACAGGCACGCTAACACACACACTCGGCTTCCCCCAGCGTGCGCACACACACACTCACACACACACACACACACACGCACACACACACACACACACACACAATGCAATTAATAAAATAAAAGTAGCTATATTGTGTGCACATGTGTGTCAATATGTGAGGAGAAGATCTTCTTTCTAAACATGTCTCTTGTTTGTGTTGCAGTGGACACTTGGCCAACATGTTCCAGGTTTGATTGTAGAAGTGTAAACGCTGAAGACAATTCTGCAAATCAAGCTGAACGTTTAGAGGCGACAGAAGACAAATTCTCCCGGAGAGAGCTCTTTTGGAACATTAGTCAGTGGGAGAACTGATGCTTTGTGTCTCTTATTTTTCTCTCTGCTGAACTCTCCTCAGAAGGTCAGAGGAGCATGTAACTGAAACAAGTGGAGCCCTCTGTTATTTCAGCATCCTTCTCCCCCCATCTGTGCCTACATTCTCTGCCACAGATAGGGATGTTTTGATAATTACATATAATTATAATTTCTGTGGGAGACAGATCTGCTTCTGTCTATTATTGCCAACACCTCCAACACAATAACTTCACACATTTACATATTTCTCGACAAAAGTGATATTCTTTGAACCTCGGAGACAAATCAGGAATAATTTTACTCAGAGAGATATGTCACACGGAGAAGCAAAGTGCCATTCAGTTCATATCTAATTACTGATACAGTTGAATGATGCGGGTGACTTTTTGTGCCTAAAAGCTGAACACAGAACATTTCAAATCCGTGACATTTGTCTCATTTTGCGATGTATTTTACAAGCTGGGAGTCGTTTCCTTGATTTATGCGTACTCCTAATTTTCAGCTGTTACAGTCTTCTAGCACTTAAGCGGAGCCTCACTCATTATCACCCCCGGTCCAATCACAGTAACAGTCCGTACCAGGCGAGTACTGATGCACAATAATCCAACCATAGAAAAGATTGAGATAAATGGTGTATCTATAGACATGATGAGTGCCTAGAACAAGTTAACATGGAGATTAGTCTCTGCTCCAGAGAAACTAGGCATTGTTAATAAACAGTTTTCATCAGTGGTACAGTCTGTTAATTTCATTTAATATTTTACAATGCCAAATATATGGAAATAATTACAGATTTCATTCATTTTCCCAGAAAATAATTGCTTACAGCTTAAATAAGTGCCAATTCTGAATGTATGTAGTGCCAGACTAAAATACATCACCCAGGAATAAACAAAACAGATACAACTGTTTACATTTGACAAACTACAGGCCATAGACTATTGTTCAAGTGCCATGATCAGCACAGGAATGTATAGGATTGCCATATTGTATTGAAAATACTTGCGACTTATTTTCACTGGCATTTCTGGCTGCACGAAATAATTCCATCCAGCAGTACGTCAGATATTAGTTGTTTTGTTCAGAGGGACATGTAGAACAAGGCATTAAGGACTAAAAGCATGAAGATTGTTGTTTTTAATTTGTCTTTTTTACAAAGATTCATCCATTTTAGTGTTCTAGACTTGAAAGGTGTTTGTGGAGGGCAAAAGATGAAGTCATTACGCATTCAGAGTTACTTTGTAGCAGTAAATTAAAATCATTTTAACACCATTATTGGCAATTATTGAAACCTGACAACAGATTTTTTTGTTCCTGGCCTTTTCTATTATTACATCACATAAATACTCAGTTACTAACCCAACATACACAGGTTTCAAATTTCATCATCCAGCATTACTGAATGAAACGTCTGACACATCATCAATATCCAGTAGGTTCTACGTGCTACTTGAATATTTCACATGCCATTTTAGTGGGTTAAACTGCAAAAGCGGATACAGTCTTGTAACGGCATTGACTCAACTACAGAAAATAGATCTCTTAGTCATGTAAAAATGACGCCCACCACCAATCTCCGAGTTCTCGCTGTCTCCCTGCTCTCCCTGCTCTCCCTCCTTACTGCCCCACTTACCACTATAGTGGAGACCTCTCCGCCCCCCCCTCCTCAGCACACAGACCGCTCAGGGAGGCCATTCACCGAGCAGCCCAAGACTGGCCCCAGCCCCTCTCTCCTGCTCTTTGCCATCCAGGCCAATATGAGACCAGCTGCTCTCCAAGGCAGGACCAAAACCCCTGAGAAACTTCCAGAAACCTCAGAGGGAGTTCTGGAGATGCCTCCGAGACCCCTTCCCCAGGTCATGTTCCCCAAGAATGTGACTTCAGCGGAGGCCCTTGCACCTCCCTTAGGCGCCGCCCAGGTAGCACCCATTCGACCACGCCTGATGGATGTATGGATGGATGTATGCCGGGGTTATTATGACGTGATGGGACATTTTGACAGCGCTTTCAACTGCTCAAAGGACACCTTCGTCTTTTGTTGTGGAACCTGCCACTACCGCTTCTGCTGTCCAGAGCGCAGCCGGCAACTGGAACAGGACATCTGCAAGAACTATGACTCTCCAGACTGGGCCAAGCCGCAGACAGACTCCATGATTATATCAGAGGAATTAGGTCCTGACCCAGACTTCGATCCACTGAAGCAGCAGAGCCACAATACGGGCTTTGTCATCGGAGGTGTGATTGTGTTCATGGTGGCTGTTGCGGTGGGCATCAAGGTGGTCTTCAACAAGGTGCAACAGGAAGCCAACCAAAGGGACCTGAATATGCCAAGGTGAGAGTTTGAAGATTTTCCCCCCTGCTTTTTCTTTTATCCCCTCTCACAGCTGGATTTGTTACTTCATTCAATGTATGAATACTGTAATGAAATTAAGTTTTCAGGACTCCACAAATGGCCCATATTCATCATTCTGGGGTCAGAATAATGTTATTAGTCATCAGCTGAAACATATTTGATCTTCATCAAGTGGCGGCTGCAGAATTCATGGTTGTTTTGATTCCTCTGGGCTATTTATCTATATGGCCCGTCATCTTGGAAATGAAGAGATTTGCATTTTGATTTTTGTACAGGTTACATTTTCTGTATTGGGCTAGAGCACTGGAGGATGATGGTTGTAGACTGATATTAAGTGCTGGTTGATCCCTTAATAATTACAAATAATCTTAACGTATTGTTTTTTATTTTAATTTTTTATTCTGCTTATTCAAGTACAGTAACGGGTTCATCACTGTACACAAATCAAACGTCAAATAGGAACCAATCCACTGTCCTTGTTAGATACCTTGTAAACAATATATAATGACAAATATGAAAAAAACTCATCACAAAAGTGCTAGTCCTAAATCATCAACTACTAAGCATAACTTCATACTGTTAGACATGTTCCATCAACATCAATTTGATGTGATAATCACGTGATATGATAGTCAGCCATTAGCCAGCCATTTGTTGACAATTTTATCTTCCTTGTGTGTGTTACATCATTAGAGCTCTGGTTGACATGTTGCGGCACCAGTCGAGCCCAGTCCAGCAGGATGAGAGAAACAACAGTGTGGCTCTGGCTGTAGGGGACGGACAGGGGACACTGGGGAGAGCTCCAAAAAATCTTTATGCTCCAGGACTGCCCAGCAAGGACAACAGATGTGAGGGTCCAGGGCTTTTACAGCTTTAGTGAATAGCACAATCAGAGGGTTTGTAACTGAATCCTCTGTATGCAGAGGCACATTGTGTTTGTCACGACTGTATGTGAATGCAATTTTTTGCTGTCCCACCACCAAGATATCATTGTAAGCAAATAAATGTTGGCATCAGTAATTTCTCTAGATAGATACCTCTGATTTCTTTGTGTGATAATATTAGGCCTCCACTTTAAGATTCCAGTAGTTAAATGTACAAGAATCCGGAGATTAGTGCTTTTAAAATATGCATGCTTTACATGATGAGCTCTGTGCATGTGAGACAATGATGAAGAATTGATGCATATACATAAATGTCTGTAGTTGCCTTGTTTTTTTTTTATCCTAAAATTTCGAGTTGATTACCTTATGTTCTTTTGACTTGCAGTGGGTAATTTGCAACACAATTTCATCCACTCATCAGGCTCCAGCCCCAAACACACTGCAACTATCGGTAAGGCAGCTGGTGAAGCCAGGCTCCCATGTAAATTACATGTAATCACCACAATACTTAATTTACTTTGTTCAGTTTAGTTTAAAACTCAAATGTAGACTCATTCATACTAACAATAATAATGATTATCATAGCTTTGGTTGCTTGTGTTAGTGTTGAAAGCAAGTTAAAAACCTGTCTGTTCCAGTGAATGTTAGCAGATTCATAAACTGTGACGTACAGTGCACTATATCCAGAGGAGCAAATCTCATTTAACACACAGTCGTTTTCTCACTGTGGTCTCTGTAGAGCGCACCCCTCGAATGAACAATGCTCAGCTGGCAGCTGGAGGCACCCTGCTCTCCAGTAAGCACAACAACACCAAATCCCAGCCTGCTTTCCACCACTCCCTGCACAACCTGGCTCAGCTGCCGCCCTCCTATGAGAGTGCCACCAAGCCTGAGCTCAATAGATACTCCTCACTCAAACGCCTCGGTAAGTACCATCATTTTTGAGAGATGAGGACAAATGTACCAGTCGGTCTTCCTCTCACTCCTCTTATAGTGCTATTTGCTGTGGTGATAAACAATTCAGAGAAATTTTGTTTGGCTTCCAGAGAAAGGTCTCGATGAGTACTCGTCTGGTTACTGCACTACCAAGCGCCGGCCTCACACAGCCCAGCCGGCCCTGCAGTCCTCTCAGCACCACCTTCACTGGGGTGGAGACTACACCCTCAGTGGAAGAGGAACGCTCCCCAGGCATGCAGCCCGTCCTTGGATCCCGCCGCCACCTTCTGGCATGCCTGCGTCACCCACCCCCAATCCTTACCCTCTGGATCCCCCGGAGCCACAGTACAACCCCAATTACGACACTCTTTCCAAGCCGAGGAAAGTTAAGTCCTCTGACCAGCTGCTCAACATGGGTGACGTCCCTGGCAACACGGGGACCCTGTCCAGGCTGTCCAAGAACCAGCAACACCAGTACTACAAAGCCATGGCTGCCTCCAATAAGAACTCCAACACGCAGACCCTCACAAGGAAGACCCAGGACAGGAGAGAGGAGAGACAGGAACGGCTGCTTATGTCCCCGGACCACTTGGAGGATAGGATGGGGGTCGGCGGGATGGGGGTTGTAGATCCATACGCTCACACAGGAGGGATTGTCCCCACGCTGCCTCGGCAGCAGAAGGCCCAGTCCCAGCAGAACGTCTGCGCCACGCCTTCCCTCGACCGACACCACATGATCAAGATGAACTCTCACCCAACGTCCGGGCGAGAGCAGGAGCGGAGTACCGCCATGACAGGGCACATGAGTGGGGGCATGGGCTGGGCGGGGGAGATGCCCGGGGCTGGGGTAGTCATGGGAACGGGAACACTAGGGGGCCACAGCGCCAGGAGGATGGCTTTTGCAGCGAAAAGGCAGAACACCATTGAGCAGCTACATTTCATACCAGGAGGGGGCGGTGGGGGGTCAAGTGGAGGAAGTGGAGGAGGGAGTCAGGGGATCAGGACGGGGAGTAAAAATGAGGTGACGGTGTGAGGTTTGTGCCTAATGTAGAGTTTAACCCTCATCAAAGGTATGGGAATAGATCACCTTTCTGCATTTAACTATTAGATATACAACTACAAGAAATAAAACTATAAGTATAAAGTATAGTAACAGTATAATGTGTTTAGGCTATTCAAATTAGTGTTATCTTGTAATTAAATAGCTTAAATATGATTGCTAACTTAATTAAATTTAGATGGGGAATATCTGTTCCAACTATGTGATAGCCTACATCAGCCATATTTTGTAACAAAATTTGCCATATTGCCATATACAGCGGTGCCATTACTTGTAAAAAGACTGACTAGAAGGGTGAAACAAAACCAACAGAAGTGTCGTTCATAGTTTTGTTTTTTTATATGTTTTTCAAAAAGTACTCAGGAGCCATATTTGATAGGGAACGGGACGATATATATATATATATATATATATATATATATATATATATATGTAGACATACATTGATATATAAAGAGGTTGATGAAGAGGAGGTATTGTATCACAGAATTTAAAAGAGAATTGAGCCAACTACCTGCCGGACTGTCAACCTGCTCAGCCCTCACAACAGTCATTTATTAAACTGAATTTCATGGGTGACAAGCCCATTGGACCAGATGAGTCTGAATGAACCATGTGCCTGGTGGGGGATTTTTTTGAGATCTGACAGTCTGTTAAACCAGCCTCATCCTGACACAGGGAGACAGAACTGATGTGTGTTGCTTCTTGTATGTATATGAGCATACATACTGACTTGGACACAGCAGCCTAAGACCACTGGCAGGACTCTGCGCCCGATTTAAACTGCGGACGTACCCACATTACCAATCTGATGCCTGGGTTGCCTAGTTTTCCATGTGACCTTAGATCAAATCCGCAGAGGAACTCAAACTCTGATTGCTGATGTTAGATTACTTTATGGTTGAGTTTTCCCTAATGTTCCCATCTACAGATCAGCACCTATCTGTAAAACAACGGGCCACCAAATAATATAGAGCCATCTGTCACGTTATTACAACAAAGTCTTGACATAAACGTAGACGAGTCAGGAGATAACAGAATCAGACATATTTGTTCAGTTTACCAATAAAAAGGCAACTTGCATTAATATAGGTTGTGTACGAAGAGCAAAGGTTTTTCTACAGAGCACAAATGAATAGACCGTGACGTAGAGGTTGCACTTACACAACTGTCCTTCAAAGCCATTTATGGAGATACAAAGAAAATACCACAGAGGACGCTGGTCTGACAATCACCATTTTATTATTCTCAACAGGTGACAAATTATACAAGTCAGTGATATTTTGTACAGTCAAAGGATTGGCTTCAGAGCGAGCCAAAAACCTCTGAGTCAGGAGAGAGGGCAACCTGAGGCCTTCTCCTGCTTGGCTCCATATGCCGTAAGAGACTCGGATGGTTAGAAAGCCCTTCTCATCCTCCAGACGAAGACCTTGCTGTATCATAACGCATTTCAGCCAGTATGAGTAAAACAAACAAACAAAAAAAATGGAAAAGAGAAAAAAAAAACTTCATCAATAACAACGCTTATCAATACTAAGGGCTATCCTATCCTATTTACTGTATGTGATATCTGTGGTCCATATAAAATGCTATCTCTTTCTCTTGATTTTGTGTTGATATTGTCATGATGTATTAAATATTAATGTGTACAAAAAACAAGAGCAATTTAAGCACAGTTCAAAGAGAAACAGAGACAAAACTTTGCACAAATCTTATCCCCTGATATTTGCACCAGATACAAACTTACTTTGTGTCGTGTCCTCAAGGTTTACATTCTGTACAAGCACGGCTGTGTGACTGATCAATGAGAGCTATTGTAGGTAGAGAGAGGATTGTTTTTTAATCACCAGAAATCAGAAGTTATTACACAGATCAAAGAAGGAACTTGTTACGCTTGGTTTTAGTTCAGTCATGTGAAAGGATACATAGATGAAATACTGATAAACAGAAACACATATTTCATTTGGACAATCTTCCTATACACAGTGCTAAATGTAGTTGTTATGAATATGATGGAGTGTTATTATTAATAATTAGTATAACTGTTATGGTTATTATTAACAATTATCTTATGATGTGATGTTCTTTTACTTGGTGGGATTTAAGTGTTTATTGTTTTTAGATAACTAGCATTCTCATGACTAGTTGGTTTTTCATACATCTGGTCATAAATTCAAGTTTTTAAAAGCATTCCAAATCTTGATGCATGCGAGCTCCATTTCATTGAGAGGCATTTACAATTTGCCTGGATTTTAAGGTCATCAATGCTTATATGGCCAGTTTTCCAGCTGTATGTACTGTTCCTAGACATCGGCCTTATGACTTCTTGATCTCAAGTGATTACTTAGGTTTCCACTTAACAACAACAACAAAAAATGTCTACTGAAAAAATCTGCAGCCTTCAAAAGGTACATGTAGATGACGGTGTTTTAACAGCCAGCGAGTGATATATTTTTGGAACGTGCCAGAAGTTATTAACATCACCAGACTGGAGGTAGTCTCTTGTCTCCGGTGCAGCAGCCTGACCCAATAACACATTATGGGTTGTACACACTAAACCCATGATGCCATAATGTATGTGTGTTCAGATGAATGTTTATTACACAGGTTGGAGGGAAATGGAAGTTGGTCTAATGGAAACCTGAATGCTTTGAGTGTAGTGTCTTTTTCAGGGAAATAGGACAGGTGACATACAGTAGTATTAATTTTTTTTAATAGAGCCACAAAAGGTCTGTAGCAAAGTCTGTAATATCTCACAAGCCATATCCATTGAAGCTCATTATCACAATTTTATAAATGGTTAATCTAATTTGTGCAAGTATTGTATTTTGTATAGCTAGTACAATCAGAATATTTTGAGTGATCTCTTTGACATTAATTTGAGGATTCAACAAATTATGTGTTAGTATTTAATGAATTGTACAGTGCCAAACTCATAACATTTTGTTGTCTTTCTATCGTCAAATAGCCTCCTACAAGACTACAGGGGCTATTTACTTTCACAGCTGAGTAATACACAGGCAAGTGAGCTAAAAAAAGCTAGTAATCAGAAAGAAATGAATGAATATGGTGTTTGTTTTTACCATTATGAATTCATTTAGAGAGAAGATGGTTAATGGCCACCTGAAATGTAAAGCATTTCTAACAGTAATTTGTACGGACAGGGACAGTGTCCAGTAATGAGATCAATGGATTTATTTTCATGCCTATAAATTTCAAAACAACCCTTTTGTTATTGTTCAATGCATTGATCCCCTTGGATACGACAGTGACTTACGAAGAATTTGTATAATAAAGTTGGTGGAGAAAAAAAATGTTGTCGTTCATTATAGAGCGTGAGGTTTCATGATTTTTTATTTATTTATTTATTTTTACCTTAGTAGTAATCTATCTGTAATCTTATGCTAATTTTTCTACCTGAGACATATTAACGGTTGGGTCACCTTAAACCTCTGTAATTATTTCTACCCCTCTGTTACATATAAATATTACCAAATCAAGAAGTTTTTTTGTCATTGAGTGATATTGGTATATGTTCTTATTTTAGTATGGAACATTGTGAAGATTTTCTTCAACCATTAGGGCTTTCAGACTCTTCATAAAGAGGCAAATGTTGCAAGCACAAAGAACCATGCATCTTACGTTGCAACATATTATGTAGACTGGGTTACATACCTTAAAATTACAATGTCAATAATCAAATTATACTTAACTAATTAATTTTTGAGGGGCGAGTTGTCCTTCTGCATTTTTGAGGACTGGATAATACCTGCAAATCCTCTCAGGTGGTTGCTAAAATCTATTTACACACTTTTTGAACTAAAACACATGGCAAGCCTGTGAACTACTTCTCCATGTCAACAGAATTTAGCTGACAAACATATTCAATCGTGGAGGAAGTATTTAGATCCTTTACTTAAGTACAAGTAGCAACACTACTAAATAAAAATAAGTTCAAGAGTAAAATTCCTGCAGTGAAAATGTCACTTAAGTGAAAAGTATTATTAGCAAACTTTACTTCAATTATCACAAGTAAAAGTTCTCATAAAGCAGAAAATGAGCTCATGCATAGCATTTTACTGATAGTTTTAACTACATCAGTAATAATTACTAAATAATTCTGGTAGAGTAAAAAGTACAAAACTTCCCTCTGAATTGTAGTCGAGTAGAAGTATAAAGTAACACAAAATGGAAATACATAAGTAAAATACAGGTACCTCAAAATGGTACTTAAGTACAGTACTTGATTAACTTTGTTTCATTACACCATGTGTGACACAAACATTTTACCACAAAATTCAGTGATGACCGTTTAAGTGAAATAAATTTTCTCCTTTCCCCTCTCATTGCTCGCTCCACAACATTTTCGCCACTTGTTACTGATTGTTATTACAGAAAAAACATCTCTTTGTACAGACATAACCTGAGGTAGGATGACTATTTTTGTAAAACTGTCTAATTCACTTTAGGCCAAGACTCAAGAAACATATGACAGACCAGATGAACATATGTTTGTGCAACCAGTCACAGTTTTGAGAAATGCAGCTTAGTCAGAGGCAATATGTTATGAAATTAATGTTCTAAGAATAATCACGAGACAGATGTGTGTTTTATAAGGGGTCAACCCAGAAACAACAGCTCTATATTAACAAAAAGCCTTTTAGTCTTCAGTAGGTTAGTGAGCACACAGAGAGGGTCTATAATAAAATCCCACATCACCAGGATCTGAGATATTGTATAAGCCACAGTGAGGCTATACAGTGCCAGTGGGAGTGGACAACTGTGCTTTTAAATGAAATGAAAGGTGAAATTGTCTTCATATAATTCACATCTCTAAACCATCTGAGTGCAGAGTTATATCATGCTGTACCTACTGGATCCTTAGGAGTGAGGTAACGGCTATGGAGCTCATATTTAAAACCACTTGTGAATACATTTATTGCACTGAGATGTGTGAAAGCTTAAATGAAAGAGCAGCCGTTGTACTGATGCAGAAATAATTTTTGTAGGAGGTACACAATGGGGCACAAAAAATATTATGTTTGGTTTAGGCACTGGCTGCCACTGATACAATCATTGTAATGCGAATATTTCACCACCAGGAGGGTCATAGCTTCTCAGCCTGAGACAAAACCTGCAAGAAGCCTTCAAGCTGTTAACTTGCATATACTATAAAGAAAACAGAACAATGAACAGAACAAATGAACAAATCAATAATATGTGAGTATTCTCAGATAGTATCATGGATGGATGAGAAACACACTGTCCAATGCCTGCCACCATTCTTAAATGCATTAAATATCTGCTAAATGAAACCCCATTTTTAACAAATTATACTATATATATATATGACACTGATTATAGTTGAGAAAGATTGCAAATTTGCCAGAAAAGACAAATTAATATTCAAATTGAAAATGTACATGTGTGAGTCGAGGCTTCGGGACCTTTGATGGTCCTGATTAAAAGATTCTGTACCCTACATGCTCTGTGCACACGATTTGCATCCTGACCCAGGCATGATTACCATTCTTTAAAATCATAGGCACAGAGCTCAAATTATTCACATCTCTGTGGTTGAAATGATTGATCAAATCCAAGATGTATGTGGTGATAAAATTATTTAGCCTGAGGTTAAGCTCCTGAGTTCCCTACAGCTTTTCTCACAGCTTTGGAAGAACACAAGTCATATCTCATATCTATGGTAATAAATCACCATATTGATCTGGTAATGGAATTTGTTGATCACTTTTAAACTGGCTCAATTGTGTAAATCTGTTGTTGGGATATAGGAGAGGACATGTTGGCCTCGAGAGATGTATATGACTTGTGTTCATAAATTAATTTCATCCACCAGTCACACAGCTATGGATGTTATACTACAGAGTTATAGATGTTTTTGTGACTGAGGTCAGTGGTAAATGAAATTACATGCTTTTAGTGTCATGAACCTCTTCTTGTGAACACTCTATATTAGGCTATTAAATAATTTAGCAAATATCCAGACAAACTAGACAGACAAAGTAATGAGACTGAAAACAGAGATAATGAAGAAAGTAAACAGAACAGTGTATATTGTCCAAGAAAATCTGTTATGTCAAAAATATTCTATAATTCATTCATACACCCTATATTTTTATACATATATCTGTGAAAGATTTAATTCTGATTGCCTGTAAAAACATTACAACACCATGCCCTTGAATACCTGTTTTATAAACTTCACGATACCTCTTTAAACATGCATATTAGAAATAAAAGACAGCTCACTTATGTTTATTATATGAACGATCCATTAAATGTGTATTTATGGCATAATTTAAAGTAGTGACATCCTGACCACTGTTGTCTGTCTGGTGTTGTTTGCTTTATTAATTTATTTAGTCACCTATTCACTGATTTACTCGCTTTAGTTAGCTCATCTTTGCTATAAAGGGGAAATCCTGTTCCCACATGTATCAGTTGCAGGGATTGAGCTTGACAATAATTAATTTGATATTATAACTAGTAGGCATTTTGCTTCAAAACCAAAAGAAAAGACAATAGTAAAATATCGCAATATATATTTTTCACTTCATGTTATATATTTTCAAGAAATATTATAGCCTGAAGATATAATATTCCTAGTGTATAATAGGCCTATAAGACATTAGCCATTATGCAGCCTGGGGAAAAGTCCCCAACCTCCTACAGAGACTGGTTTAACTTTTGATATACATAGGGGTTGTGTAAGTGGATTGGGCACTAATTATCTGAATATGCAAGTTTTGTGTAAGTGTATGACCCTTCAAACAAATAGTGACTCCGCTGTGAGCCCTATTCAGCCGCCCGTGAGCCCCGCTAGTGCTACCCGGAAATATTACAAGGGCCGGAAAGGACCAATGTTAAGAGAGCACACGTCACTCACTTTTACCCAAAAATATTATCACCGACCACCCAAATTCTTCACGGCCGTCGAAATCTTGAGCAAAAGCTCCCTGTCAGCGCAAACTGTCGTACTGAAACTACAAGGAGGCGGCTGCGGTCTCCGTCGGCGTTGATTTCTGGGGAGACGGTGTAAGCTTTCACCCAGCTCAGCATCAGTGAAAATGGCTCTGGCTAACGACTGGAAAACGGCACGCAGAAATGGAAGCGGACGATAGCTAGCTAGGCAGTTAGAAGAAGGCGTGACAGGCCTCATCCATCTGCAACTGTGCTCTGCAACTGGATGCGTAGGTAAACATTTGCTGATTATAGGTTACGCAGATATATATGCTAACGCTAGCAACATAACGGTAGTCGCCGTGCTTGTAATATTGTGGTTTGGAAATATGGCTAACGTTAGCAATAGCGGTCATGGTGGTTTTCTAGATTACGTGTGGTACCAAATAGCTAAACACGCCGAGCCAGTGTAAAATATGATGCTACGGAGAACCGTGAAGTTTTTCATGCAATCGCATCCAATGTTTTCCTGTTTAAAAAAATGTTAGCCAATACTATTACAGGATGCTACCACAAGTGCATCCGTTATTACTTGCGTCTGTAAAGTACTGCTCATGTTTACATTGTGCAGCGAGTGCGATACTGATGTTAATTTGAGCATTTCTGATCTTCTTCACAGGATTGCTGATTTACATTAAAATGAGAGGCAGTCATATATGCGATAGATTATCTCCCTCGTCTGCCAGGGGAGCTCACTCCCTTCTAGGTTCATCGCATCGATTAGTGGAAACGGTAAGATTTTAAGAGGTGAGCAAAATGAAATTCAAAGTGAGTGATTCTACCGTGTACTTTCACCCTTTTCAGAAGTAAATTAATGGGACATTTTAATGTTAAACAACAACTTACCTTCATGCAGTTAAATGATTATGCATAACGCAACAGTTCAATTTTCTATTCTCCCTTTTGTTTGGCTATGAGAATGTATATATTTCATCGACTTGAATAGATTTATCCTATTGTTGTTGGTAGTTGGGGTTAGATTAGATATAATTCAAATTTATTGTCATTGCACTTCGTGAGTTTAAGTACAACAAAATCAGTTTAGTATCTGATCAGGAAGTGCAAACATAGACACACACACACACACCCCCACAAAAAATGAATTTGTCAATGAATCAATTTATGGGAAGTATTATAGCCAAAATGGTGTATGTGCAATATGAATGGATGTAAGTGGATTTTTACAGGTCAGTACTCCTCTTGGCCTATCTTAAGGTACTACACAGCACCTGAGACTGTTATTATTATGTCCATTATTCCTACTCAAGTGACTGCCCACTATTAACAATCCTTTGAGAAAACATTTATGAAACAAAAGACAATCTCATATAGT